CTGAGGAAGGCATTACTGAACTCTACATGTGGCACTTGGGAGACGTCTGGGGAAGAGAAAGAGCCCTTGGGAGCAGCCCAACATTTCAGGGGTGGACAGAAGTCGGGGAGTCCAGGAGAGAGCTGGTGAGGATGGACCAGAACAGAAAAACAAAGCAGGAAGCCACGGAGCAAAAGCTTTAAAACTCCCTGACCTGGGGTGGAAGGGTCAGGAACCTGGGGCCAAACAGCATCCCCAGGCTGGTTAGTAGGAATCTTAGAGGGTAAGATTTCGGTGAAGAAATAAAGGCAGACATCAGTGGGCAGAGGAGTGAAGGAGAAAGAGCTATTTCTTCCAGGAAGCACAGCTGCAAGCAGCAGGAGCGCTCTACAGCCCCAGGAGATCCGAGGTCAAGCAGAAGGTCCTATTGCAAGATGGGCGAGTCATTACAGCTTAGTTGAAAGCGCCAGCGGGGAAAGCAAGGGAATGCGGAGAGGAGAAAGAGATGTGGAAAAGTTGCAAGCAGAAGAAGCTGGAAGTCGGCAGAGTTCCCACTGGCAGCTTTTCCCTGCTCTGTGAAGTGGGAAGGGAGGTGGGAGTGGGGACTGGCTCCAGAAGGTGACAACTTGCATTAGCCACTCAGGGGAAACGGGACCCCTAGCCTGGACAGGAGAAGGCAAGGCACTGATGCAAATGAAAGCCGGCTGCTCTGCCCCACTGTGCCAGGCCTGGGGACACAAGGGAAAGAGAAAGCAGGCCCCCGAGTCAAATTAGCACCCCCAAGAGTGGGGTGCAGGACGGGGAGCTTGCTTGGTGCAGGGCTGACACACAGACCGGTCTCCGTGTTCTGACTGTCCCCGCTTGGCTTCAAGGCAGGAGGGGGGCCGTGAGGCTCTGAAGCTGCAGACAGGTTACCTGCCAAAAGCTTCCACCATCATACAACGGGGCTGTAAAGTCTTGGTCCTGATGTCATTGGTTATGTTCTTCCTCTCCTTGAAGTATCGGCAAGAGCCCTGGATGCCATCCTTATTCTCCAAGATCATATGAATGGGGTAGACATCCTCCAGAGCGACTGGATCCCTCCGGGACTCCAAAATTCCGGTTTCCAAGTCAATCTCTTCATACCTAAAAGGGGGACAGCACAAATACCAAAGGACAACTCAGCTTCGGAAAAATACATACATACTTGGCTCCTCATTCTTCTCTTCTCTTCTTTCCTTTCTTTCCTTCTTTTTAATTAAAGATTTTATTTATTTTTAGAAAGGGAGCACTCTAGGAGGGAGAAAGAAGTAAAGAATCCCAGGCAGACTTCACGCTGGGAGCCCAAAGCAGGGCTGGATCTCACGACCCTGAGATCATGACCTGAGCCGAAACCAGAAACCAAGAGCCGGATGCTTAACTGACTGGAGCCACGCAGGCGCCCCTGGCGCGTTCTTCTGACGACCTCCTGCAGAGATCAGAGAGCCGAGAGCTCACTCGATCCTCTAGCCTTGCAAATGCAGATTAGAGCAGCATTCCTGCCTTTCTATCCCAAAGAACACAGACCTTTCCAGGGTCTCCCAAATCCACCCCAGAAGCTGAATGTTAGAACCAGAACCATCTTACTGGCCCAAGTCATGGCCTTTCCGTTTCCCTCCAAATCCAATGCCTGCATGTTAACAATTTTCACCTCTGAATCCTCAGTCCTATCTTTTCCTCCAAACACTGATCCTGCGTCTCCAGTTGTCTACCAAACACCTTGAATTCAAGCAGATCCAAATCAAAGTTATGACTGCCTCTCTCCACCTCCGATGAAGTCCATCCTTTCCACTTTCTCCCAAATATGTCGTATCAATGTCACAGGGACAACTCTGACTTGCGTTTCTTCCTTTATGCAGTCAGCCAAGTTTGTTAGGCTTTCCGTACAAACCCTGCTCACAGCCCGAGCTAGTCTAGTTGAGGCTAAATCCTACTTACACTTCCCAGCCCCTTCCTTCCTCGCCTTCTCTGTGATCTCTACCCGGCTTTATCCCCCACTCCCAAATCACATCTTCCACCATCTGCCAAGAGGAGGCTGTGGACTGCTGTCCTCCACCTCTCCAGCCGCACCTTCTTAGGCTTCTTTGACGGTTCCTAGTTCTCCATCCAGCCTTTCAACGTCGGTGCACCTGAGGGCCATGTCTTAGGCCTCCCATCACACCATATTCTCTTCCAAGGATGATCCTGGCTCATGGCTTTAATAGCCAACCATATAGGATGACTGCCCATGTCCAGCTCTATCCCTCCCCCTGGCCTGCTTTCACTCAAGGAAGCAACATGTTTACTGCACAGAATCTCCACGGATCACCCAAAGGAACCTTGAATTCCATGTGACTCGAAGTACATTCAGCACCTAGCCCACCTTCCCTGAGACTCAACAACCTTGCTGCTCTTCTGTGTTCCCTGCTAACAGGGACGGGCATCAATATTCACTCAGGAGGCTGAACATCAGGAATCAGAAGCCATCATCCCTGATTCCCCCCTCTCCTATACCCCACATCCAGTCACCAAATCCTCTTGATTCTTCTGCTTCCTATGTCTTGATGCCATTTCTTCTCTTATGTATTCTCACCTGCCCCATAGTAAGCAAAACTGATGGGGAGAACAAAGGCAAGAAGGAAATGTAGATGAAATTAAATTTCCTTATAACCTGCAGCCCATTGTTACTTAAGGCAGGAAGAGTAAAGTTCCTCTAGGAAGCTCCCAACTGTTTTCAAGTTGATGCTTTGCTAGAGGGAAAAACCAGCCTTAGCTTGAAAATAGCCAGGCCTCCAGGGTCCTGTGAGTTTTCTTTAACATAGGAGAGTCTGTTTGGAAACCTCCCTTTGTCTTCACGTCCCCCAACTTGAAAGTATATAAATTGGTCCCCCCCACACACACGCACACAACCACCGTGCTGCTCTTTCTGCCCCACTGGTCCTGTTCCCATGCTTTAATTAAAATCTTATAGCACCGAAGACTTCTGCAGAATTCTTTCTCAGCCTGTTGGCTCTGAACCCCAACCTACAAACCCCATCAAACCATGACTGGTTGTGACTGGATTACTAAAATCTGTCAACTTCACACTCTGCCCTCAGTCTGACCCTTTGTTGGGGTGGGGGGAGGCGGGGCTTCCAATGGTTCTTTTGATAAAGGATAAACTCTTTAAGCGGATTAAAGACCACTGATTACCTCTCCAGTCCAATCTCTAAGCGCAGAGAAGATTCTGTAGGCCAAACTTCATGGATTCAAATTCTGGTTTCTGCTCTTGCTAGCTGATACCTTGAACAAAGTCTCTTTGGGCCTGACTTCTCTCTCCGGGGGAAAAAGGGAATGATTACACCCACCTCCTAAAATTATTGTAAAAATTAACTTGATAGGAGCGCCTGGGTGGCTCAGTGGCTTAAAGCCTCTGCCTTCAGCTAGGGTCGCGGTCTCAGGGTCCTGGGATCGAGCCCCGTGTCAGGCTCTCTGCTCGGCGGGGAGCCTGCTTCCTTCTCGCTCTCTCTCTGCCTGCCTCTCTGCCTACTTGTGATCTCTGTCAATTAAATAAATAAAATCTTTTAAAAAAATTAACTTGCTATATGTTAGGATCTTAGCAAGTCCTAGCTCACAATATGCATATATGTAAGTGCCAACTACTATTATTCCCCATTCCCCATCTCTAGTCCTGCACCTCAACCACACTTATTTCTCCTCCTTTAGGCTTTCCATGTTTGCTGTTCTCTCTCCAGAATACTCTGCCAACTGGCCATCTAAATCCAATCTTGAAGTCTTGTTTTCAGTATTACTTCTGGGAACCTCTCCTCACAATTTGGCTTAACGGCACAGACTCTATAGAGATAGACTGTGTGGGTTTAAATCAACACTCTGGTCACTTAAAATCTCGGGAACGTTGGACAGGTTCCTCAATCTATGACTCAGTTTCCTCTTCTGCAAAATGGGGACAATGACAGCGCCTACTGCTGAGGACCAAGTGAGTTCCATCTCCTTAACCTCCCAAAACAGGATCTTACAGTATAATAACAGGCCAATAATAAGCACTCAATAAATGCTAGCCGCTGTTGTTGTTATATTATTATTGTTGTTGCTAACCTTGCCGTTATGCCTATCTCTAGTTGCCTTAGGTTCTCTAGTCCAGAACTGAGAATGCCCCAGAAAGGGTGGCTAAACTCAGAGTCTCCAGACTTGATCTAAACTGACTTCCTTCCCACCACGAAAAAGGAGCGCTCTTCGAAGCTTGAAGAATACCCCCTCCCCGCCCCAGTCCTGCTCACCACCACTCAAACACCTACACAGACCGAATGGGACATCACTAAATGACCCCCAACTCCATCAGAGGCCCGGGCTCTGCCAGGCCCGAGAGACCCCCAGCCAGCCTTACTGCCGCGCCCCCATCAGACTCGCGGTCCTCCCCCCACCCCGCCCCTCGGCGCCACTCCTTTCTCCCGCCCCCTCCCGTCAGAACCTGGGCCCCTCCCAGGGCCCTCCGATGCCGGGCTCTGCGCCGCCCGCCCGCCCGCCTCAGGGCCAGGCCGCTGACCGGTCCTGGAGCTGGAGGTCGGGTCGCTCTCGAGGCTCTTCATAGAAGCTGATGCCCGGGTGGGTGGCAAGGGCCCGCCAAAGGAACTCCTGCGTGTAGGGCTCCAAAGGCAGCGGGAAGGGAGGCACTCGCGTCTCCAGACGGCTCCACAGCGCGGGCAGACACAGGCCATCAAGCCCCTCCAGGGCTACCTCGTCCAACAACGACTCCAGCGCGTCCATTGCTACTTCAGTCTTGCAGCTCCCCGGGCGCCTGCGCACCAGGACTCTAAAGGCCCTCCAGCGCGCCTGCGCAGAACGATCTACAGCCATGGGAGGCGGGTTGGACCTACGGATCGGAGGAGGAGTTCCAAGAGCGCCGACGTGACGTTGCGCCCTTTGGGGGCGGGCTCAGTCCTCGGGGCTCCACCGCCATTGGTCCGGAACCCCGCAGTAACCAGGGGAACTGCAAACAGTGTAGTGGCCGCTTCCGGTTCGAGCACCCGGAACCGCCGCCTCAAGGGATGGACGGTGAGTGTCCGTGGGCCCCTCCAGGTGGTCGGGCAGTTATTCTCCTATCTCTCCCTCAGCTCCCTCGGACAGAATCCTAGGCAAGAGAGCCCTGGGCCACCACTGCCTGACCTAGGGTGGTCTCTGGTCAGAGGGAAAGGGAGCCTTAGTGGTCAGGGATGGGAAGAAGAGGCTGGGGGGAGTGGTCAGTGGTTTGGCCACTGTGCAGAGTTGTGTTGTTGTAGAAACCCGGTACAGGTCGGGGGCTCAGAAGAGGTTTAGAGTGGAAAGCAGAGGCAGAAGTCTGAAGAGGGGTCTTGTGTGTCTCCCTCGGATGTGGAACTGTGAAATCTGGGAGTTGGTATGGGGATAAGCGTCATCTTGGGGAGTGCGGTCGTCAGGTCCTGTGAAAACGGAGTTGGTAAGGTGGGTGGACGAAGTCGAGGGCATACTCTTTTTCTGAGCTTTGATGTTGATAATTAGTACTGTTCAGTGCCAGGAACTCTGTAAGCGCTGTCGAGCAACACCTCGTTAAGCTTCATTCCTGCCCTTTGAGGTCAGTAGTGTTATCCTGTTTTGCAAATGAAGAAACTGAGGCTCAAAGGAATTAAGTTAACTTGCCCTAAATCAAAGAGCCAGCAAGTGGCAGAGTGAGTAAGAAACCCAGACACTCTGTCTCTGGAGTTAAATTATAGAGCTTTGAGATTTGGAATGGATTTTGGAGGCCCTTCATTCCTGACATTGCAAATGGAGATATCTGCAGGGGCAAGTCTGGTGGGCTGGATTGGGCTGTGACTGAAAATCAATTCCCCTTTTGAAAGGAAAGCTTCTCACTCAGTTCCAACCAATTATTTTTCTAGGGCACTTCTCTAAATACCATGACAGCCTATCAGCCTGAAGGCCAGATGGCCAGATGCCGGCCTGTGGGCCACTATTTAGAGTTCCTGATTAGAATCATGGAATTGACCACTGAAAACAATCTAAAAATAGGCTGTTCTGATCTCATTTTGAAGATAGGAAGACTAATATCTAGACAGACTGTTAGGATCTCTGCTAGAATCCAGATCATTGTTCTCATTTCACTACTATCCCTTACATTCAGGAATTTGTTCCTTGTATCCACTTAATGCAGTTTGGGGAAAAATTTATTTTGATTGAACAGTCTGATATATACTTAAAAGACATCTTTGCCCTTTGTACTTTAGAGGGACTATAAAACGTCATTTGCAGTTTGCCTGGTGGAAAGATCAATGTTAACATTGCTATAGAACAACAGTTCTCAAATAGTTTTAACTGCAGGACACCTTTATGCTCTTAACCTTGAAAGAGCTTTATGTATATTATGTCTATGATATTTACTGTATCAGGAAGTAAAGCTGAGAACATCTTAAAACATTCATTTATCAACTACTTAAAAATAACAGTAAACTTGGGGCGCCTGGGTGGCTTAGTTGGTTAAGCATCCAGATCTTGGTTTTGGCTCAGGTCATGATCTCATGGGTTGTGAAATGGAGCCCCGAGATGGGCGCCACACTCAGCAGGGAATCTGCTTAAGATTCCTTCTGTCTGCCCTCCCCACACTCAGTGTGCTTTCTCTCTCTCAGTAAAATAAATCTTAAAAAATAACAGTAAGCCCATTACTTCTGACTATAAGTAATAATTTTAATGAAAGATAGCTATGCCCCCCCCCATTAGTAGGAAGAGTAGCATTATTTTACATTGTCTCAAATCTCTTCAATGTCTGGCTTGACAGAAAATAGCTAGACTCTCATTTCTGTTTCAGCAACCAAACTGTTGTGTCTTTTGGCTAGTGTATATGAAGAAAGTCTGGCCTCACACAGATTTTAATTGCCTTTTCAAATAACTGTAGACATTCTTTTTTGATGCTACACCAAAACTTAGCACATGGTAGTTTCTTGAAGGGTATGTACAATGTGCTGTCTGAGACCATATTGGTGAACTTTTTGTTCTCTGTTATATTTAAAATCCATTGGTTTATCTTGCCCTTTGTTCAGATATTTTACCCATGTATGATTTTATTACATTAGGCATTGGTCATTCAGAAAATGTTGGTTTACTGAGTTCTGCAAATCTTCCAAACGTTGACATTTCAAATTCCATTATGTAATATCAAGTGGAATGTCATTATACAATATCAAGAAAGTCATATTTGTTAATATCACCACCTGGCTCATTTTTTAGCAAAAAGTTTAAGCTGCTAAACTCAAGGTAGTAGAAACAAGTTTCATTTGGGCAATAGACACTCTCAGTTGTTTCCTTGAAGGGACTGACTCACTTTCTTTCATTCTTTTCTTTTCTTTTTTTTTTTTTTCGTATTTGAGAAAATGTCTGTGAGACACCCAGATCTGAATAATTATAGTTTGTTAGTTGTATTCAAGTAAAAATGGCATTCTATACATATGTGGCTAGTTCAGCTGGTAACTCAAACAAGCACACATGAGTGTTTTCTGGGATCAACCATTGTATTTTGGCTTGTAGTGGAAATGCTTGGTGTGTATTTGCCATTGTGTCACACAGAATATTGAAAAGCTGTGGACTCATGAGAAGAAATTAAGTAAAACTAACTTTTACAATTTCATAAGGATATTCTTAGGTGACAGTGATTTTTTGGTTGTTGTTGATTTATCGTGAATACATGGCAGTAAAGAATACAACGACTACTAGGACAGTTTGGTGCCGCTGCCCTGTAACAGTTTTACCTACTGCCACTGTCCCATCATCAGTGCAGATAGCAACACGGTGAGGATGTCTTAGAATTGTGATGAAAATGGTTTTGTCCTTGTGAACCTCTCTTCCTCCCAGGGTCTGGGGAAAACAGTTTGAGAAACATTGCTATAGAACATTTTCAAGAAGTTCCGCCCAGTTGCTCTGTCATCATCTTGTTCACTCCTAAAGCGTTATCATGGCCCGATTAAGGAACCTGTTAATTTACAGATTGGTTACAAAAAGGAAAAACTTGTTCTCTTTAAGAAAGTATTTGCCCTAAGATCAGATTTAGCATTCAAAGGATCCCTTTTCCATTACAATTTTTAAGATTTAGATTTACACAACTTTTTTTTTTAAGATTTTATTTATTTATTTGATAGAGAGAGACAAAGCGAGAGGGAGCACAAGCAGTGGGAGTGGGAGAGGGAGAAGCAGGCTTCCTGCTGAGCAGGGAGCCTGATGTGGGTCTGGTTCCCTGGACCCTGAGATCATGACCTGAGCTGAAGGCAGACGCTTAACAACTGAGCCACCCAGACGCCCCTTACACAACAATTTTATAGGCACCCACCTGAAGTAGGGTGAAAGTGAAGTATGCCATGATGAACTGTGAGTCTAGCCAACTAGATACGCCAAGCCTGGCCTTATTGAAAAGATGTTTACTTCCCAAACTTACAAAAGCTTAAGTATCTAGCAAGTGTCCCCAAACTGGATTATAGTTTGGTTGATTTTGCAGGTCCAAATCACTGTGGTTTTCACATTTTTCCTGGCCCATTGGCTTTGGCTTTGGGCAAGTTTTAACTGGCTCTGCAATGCAGTGTGACATAATGTTGATATATTTGGGGGGCTGTATACTGGTGGATTCACATCTCTGCTGTGTATTCTGACCTCTCTGAGCCTCAGTTTTCCTGTCAATAAAATGGCTGATGATAAGGCTTACTTTGTTTGGTCTGGTAATCCACTGTTGAATTACACGAGACTAAGTGTGAACACACGTAACACCAAGTCTTCCTTATAAAAAGCACTCGGACGTGGTAGCGAATTCTGTCATTATCTGCAAATGGGCAGACTTCAGCTGGCAGAAGAGGGAGGGGGGATTCTGATGAAACTCTCTAGTAAATAATAATCTTTGTAATTAGCCCTCTGTTTGTTTAAAGGAAAAGCCAACGTCTGGCATTTTTTATTTACCTGAATGTAAACGAGCAACGTGTGAGTCTTTTGCTATGAAGTGTTCACCTTTATGTTAAAGTCATTTCTTCCAGTGCTTTTGGAATATGAAATGGTTCAAGGAAAAAAAAAATATTTCTGCTCAGTTTTCAAGGAACATAATAATTAGACAAAAGTTCAGCACATCAACATAATTAGAAAGGATTTTAAAGCTGTTCATTTGCTTTTGCTCTCCCCAGAGCAAATATTCAACATTTCCCCCGCTTATCCTGTTCATTTGCTTAGTACACTTTCTCAAAGAATTAATAATGCCAAGATGAAATTTAGCCTAGCTTGTCTAAATAATCCCAAACTGCAAAACGGGTGACGGTTGAATTAGTAAGATTTTGTTGAAAGTATGCTGTCAGCGTGTCTGGTCTCTTCCGGTCTGGTACGGTATTCACCTGGGCTCCTGGTGATTTGTTGGTTTCTCTTACTATTTAAAATAAACCAAGCCAAAAAGGATGTGAACTAGAACAAAGCAGGCATTCAGCAGACAAAATAAATGCGTTGTCCGTGGAGTCTCTATGTCTGTTTTGTCTTCCTTCCTTCTTTGCACCCATCCTTGAGTTGGATCCAGTTCAGTGATTTTTAGCTTAGAGGAAGTTGACGCTCTATGTTTTGCTTATTCTTTCTTAGCACATTCATTTAGCAAGTCCACATTTCAGTGCCTTCTGTGTGCTGGAATCCAGAGATAATCAAGACGAGTAAGACTGGATCTAAGTGAAGAGTATATGGGAGTTTATTGTAGTATTCTTTTTTTTTTTTTCTTTTTAAATTAGGCTCCATGCCCAGCACAGAGCCCAGTGTGGGGCCTGAACTCACAGCCCTGAGATCAAGACCTGAGCTGCGATCAAGAGTCGCATGCTTAACTGACTAAGCCACCCAGGTGCCCCTCCTTGTAGTACCTTAAAACTTTCTTTAAGTTGGGGTACCTGGGTGGCTCAGTGGGTTAAAGCCTCTGCCTTCGGCTCAGTTCATGATCCCAGGGTCCTGGGATCGAGCCCCACATTGGGCTTTCTGCTCGGTAGGAAGCCTGCTTCCCCCGCTCCCTCTCTGCCTACTTGTGATCTCTGTCTGTCAAAATAAAT